AGGCAGGGGGCGTGGGAGTGGGCGGGGCAGGCGGCTCTGCGGGATGCAATGCTCACCGACTCCTCCTGGACACCGGCTCCCTCCTCCCGCCACCTTGCTGCCTCTGATACATCAGTGCATGCAGTCCTTTGGGCTAACCGATAAGCCCAGGCTGATCAGTTAATCGTTTCAACGACTGTACTCTAACATCCCTAATGTGGAGGTGAAAAAACAGACTTTATTCTGAAATGTATTATCTCAACATGCCAATGCTCACCGACTCCTCCTGGACACCGGCTCCCTCCTCCCGCCACCTTGCTGCCTCTGATACATCAGTGCATGCAGTCCTTTGGGCTAACCGATAAGCCCAGGCTGATCAGTTAATCGTTTCAACGACTGTACTCTAACATCCCTAATGTGGAGGTGAAAAAACAGACTTTATTCTGAAATGTATTATCTCAACATGCCACAAGTTTTCCGGTTTCTTTTTCTTTAAATTGGAGATCTAATTTTAAAAGCAAGCAGAGGCCCTTTTTGCATTCATTATCTTTATAGGTGGCAAGGCTATGAGGTTGGCTGAACAAAGACCAGACAAAGACTGCCAAGTGCATATGGTGGCTCACAGCTTGGTGTCGCACCACTCTACAGTACCAACACAGCAACTCCAATAGCAGACTATTAAAGAGGAGCGCTGCTCATGCACTTTTGTCGGCAAGTAAGTTACGCTTGGTGAAGACAGAATGACTGAAAAGCATTACACTTAAGAAACAAAGCACAGATGGTTCCAACTCCCGCTCATTTCTTAGGAGTAGGAAAATCACCATTCCAGGTGAACTACAAGCCTCCAAATAGTTCAAAAAATAGCCATGCCAGCATTAAAGTCAATTACATGCCACAGAACAATGTGCCGTGCTAGCGACCATAAAATTACATCTCTACGTGGTCTTATTGCTGAACCATGCAAGGGAGGTCTGCTCCCCTGTTTGAGGACCAGTCTGAGGTTTCCTTCAACATGAGTGATGCTTCCAGCCATGGGAGAGGAAGACAAAAGGCTATCAAAAAGGAGCTTTGCAGTCATAGCTCTGGTGCCCAGATAGAACGTTGTACGTGCATCAGAAATGTCAAAGGTTTGCGGGCACTGCAACTGACGGGTAGCAAAGACAGATGGAATCTGTTGGGGGAACGAGTGGGGACAGAATCAGCAGGCAAAAAGGCAGATCACAGCTGAAAACCCCGACAACCTCTTGAACTGGGGCAAACACCGAAATCCTATTGCCTCTGAGTGGCAGTGCCCTTCGGGTGTGTCAACACAGCACCGGAACTCAAAATAAGATACGTAATTTGAGCTACGCAAATTGCACGTCTTATTTCAATGCTATTTTGAAATAGTGCCAAATGACGAAATAAGCTATCTCCACAGCGCCAAATTTCGAAATACAGTGCTATTCTGAAACATCCCTAAAATGAGGTTTACAGGGACGTCGGAATAGCCAGCCTGAAATAACAGGCTTGCTGCGAAGACGTGGGACAGCTATTTCAAGATACTCTGGTATCCCGAAATAGCGCTGCAGCATAGACGTAGCCTTCCTGGCCACCAAAGCCACATAGGGCAAGAGAGCGCTCCTACTGGCATGCCTGGAACATTGTCTAAAAACAAGAGCTAGCCCGACTTTGGCATCGTTCATTCAAGTCCCACAAAGCATTAACTGGCTAAGCTGCCAGCCCCCACTCAGAGTATCGCCTCTATTTGCACAGGTCGATACAATGCAGACCACAGGCTTTACACAAGGTCACGCAGAAAGTCAATGGCAAGGCTGGGAATGGAAATGGGAGACTCTCTGCGTTAGTCGGTATCCTTCCTCTCTAGCCTGCCCCTCAGAGGCCCACATAAAAGGTGTTTGCCTCTCAGTTTATTGATCCTGAAATGGTATCACAAGAGACCCTTTCCCAATACAATTTGGATTTGTCTCCAGCCTGAAACTAAGAGGGTAAAATTCCACAGTGTATAATACCACCCCAGGCACCTCCACAAATTTATTCCATTCTTGGACTCTGCAGATGAAGCCCCCATCTCAAAACACGTACATGTCACCCACGGTCCCTAGGCTAAGTTGCCCGACATGGGATATTTTTCTGTATATAAGCAATGCTGGGATTCAGCTATAATAGATGGATGAATTCACTCTCAGGGCCGCCTTTAGCTCTGCCTTACTCCTTGTGGTGGAATCAGAAACCTGCCAACTGGGCAGTTGTTTTGGTGCTGTGTTGCCCAACGCTAATTATAAAACAGTACAGATGCAGTCTTCTTCCACATGTAAGGAGGCGGGGGTGGGGAAGAACTATGCATCTATGTAAAGAGCACAACTATCTTTTATGCTTTCAAATTCTTAATCCTATTTGGAG